GAAAAAGCCAGGAGAGAGAAGAGTCGGACAAGAGAGATGACTCAGAGCTACAAGTGCAACTGTAGGCCATATTGTACTCACCCGATCCTCCCTTGCCACAGTGACATCCGTACTGGTTATAATCCAGTGGATTTCGGTCCGTACTGCATTTCGTCATGAGACCAAAGTTGAGAACATTGCGCCTGCTGCGCCGCAGAGGAGCGGCATCCTCCTGTAACCACACACACACACAGCCCCAGATGCAGCACAGCGTTTAAGTTTTATAGCACCTACACGCCGTTCGTTGTCCCTATGTTCTCTTGCTGTTGTTGTTGTTCTCTTCTCTATGTAGGCATGTGCACTTTCATTAAAAAAAATTAACAAAGGGGAAAAACAGGATAGGATTCCGTGAGTACGAGTAGGCACATCCATATCCTGTACTACAAAACAATTTAGGACAGCTATGGAGCAGTCGTGGCGATCTTGTTACTATTACAAGTAGGCCTGATATCAGCAGACATCGGGATGACAGGCCGAGCTGATTTCAAGTACTAGTATGTTTGGGCAAGCTGCAATGCTCCAACTCGAAGCCTCAAAAAGCACCAGACGCTGCACTATCGTCACAACTTTCTTGCGAATAGGCTCATGTACTACGGTTTGTGCAAAGAACGTAAGTTCGTGGACGCGTGTGGGCATGAGCGCTGCCGGCATACAGTCATGTTGTATCGATTGTCATGGTCGAACCTAGCATTACCTTTTGTACAAGTGCCCATGGGCTCCAATCTGATTTGAATTGAAGAGTAAAAGGGTGGTGAGACCTAGTGTACTCGGCGACCTGAGGTCTCGGATTCATGCATAGTGTGCTAGATGCACCAATGACTATTATGGAAAACAAAACAGAGGAAAGGGGGACACAGAATACACCGGTAGATGGAACATGGGACGATCAAAGCCGCAGTCGTTGCTAAGAGCAACCGGAAACTGGACTCTAAAGGCACATTACGTGTACGGTGTAGGTGGTCGTCGTTCTCAACAGGTCTCGTTATAAGCCCGATAGTGATATGGCCGGTTTCCAGCCTTGTGCTGCAGCTCCGGTCACTTACTACAATGGCCGCTAAACACAGGTTTGTGCTCATTCCTTCATTGAGCTGCTCATCCTCCAACAACTAACGTTACTTGGTCATCGCGTATCAGCCATAGAGTTGATGTGCGAGGACGCGATATAAATACATGTACATGATGGTACACCGTTCTGAGTTGTAAGATGAGTGTTTTTTTTAGACACGAAACTCTGAGCAACGGCAAGGAAGAACTCGTTTCACTGTTGCTGTTTGTGAATTGGACATGATTGTACTTACATATTGAGTATTTCGCTCCTGCTCTTGTAGCAGTAGAGCACTCTCGTGTGGGGTTGTGCCTTTGCTGTTTGCGTTATGCAGAAGTCACTGACTTGTCAGTTTGAGCACTCTGGCAAGTTACTTTCGGGCCTAGTTAAAATAAATCTGGCTTTGGATAATAATTTTTCATTGCTATCAGGTTCGGCCTCATTTTCTCTGTGCTGTGCTGATGAGTCCACAAAGGACGAAACAGTTCTGTCCGCAGATGGATTGTACATACAGGTACATGTAGCTACAGTGTACTTGGTATTAGTCTACTGTAAATCAAAACAAATTTTGGCCGGTGAGAAACTTTGGCCGATCTCGAAATGAAACTTTTGGCCGTCATTAAACTTTGGCCGATTAGGGTTTTCAAAAAAGAAATCGATCAGTACGAGTTGGTGCTCTCACATGCATCCATGCATCATTTGCCTCTATGACAAACTTTGGCCGGGGATTTACTTTGGCCGGTTGGTACACAGCGGTGAAATCAGCGAAATTTAATCGCCAGTGAAAATTAGTTGATTTACAGTATTATATAATCCGACACTACAGTACAGTACATACATGTTACAACACGTGTGTACTATAACAAGGTTTATCCAATACTAGTGCTGTACTAGTATTGGATTATATAATTATAATACTAGTACAGTACATGTACCAGTATTAGATAAACCTTGTTATAGTTCACACATGTTATTGTTGCTACTTGTGCATGTTGTTGCACATTGTACTACTGACTTACTTAGCACCAAACTGGTGACATATCACATTCCAGTGTGTAGTCAGGTAGAACCAGAAAGAGCCAGGATACCGGGTAGAAGCTCACCTCGATCCACGATACGTACACATGTACGTGAGAGATACGTTGTCGTTTCCACGACCGTGCCATATTGCCCACATGACGCAAGATAGCTTCACCTACCATCGGCTTTGGTTATGGCAAAGCACTCCTCGGTCTATTTCTCCGCCTGCTACTTTCCGTTCCTTCTTTGGTGTAGCTATTTCTTCTTCTTTCGCTTCCGTTTCTCCGATTGGCGAGCACTAGTAATGATTCGGATGGTGAGCCAATTATAATTATGATGAAGAAAGGAAAAGGACAAAATGTTACGAGTTATGACAAATTGTCCACCAACGTAACCAGATCTGACTCGCTGACCGTATAAGATCTGGTTACGTTGGTGGACAGTTTTTCATAACTCGTAACATTTGTCCTTTTCCTTTCTTCACTAGTAATGATGTGTGCCTGTGTTACTAGCATCCATTAGCAAGATTTAGTGCTCACATAATTCTCTGAGGAATTGTGTGTGCTCTGGATGGCAGTTGTGAGTCAGTCAAGTGGGACTTCAGCAATCAGATCGGCAGGAAAAGCGCACGTTCCCGCAGAGGGAGCAACACACAACTCCTCAAGTGTCGTCGAAGTCACCTCAACCTCTTCTTGGAGTATAATTCTCTGAGACTTTGCATCAAGACGCTAGCAGGCATGGCATAGCGTAGCGATCTCCAGCCCACCACCCTTCTCACAGTGGCAGTAAGTGATGTGTATCGACCTTTCGCTCGCCTTGTACACACCTGACCATCATCGCGCGGTCACCTTCCCTTCTCCGATCGATCGCCACACTTCCACACTACATTCTAGCATTATGACATTTACTAGTACACGATCCGGGCATTATGCAATGTGACACGAATGGTACAAAAGAAGCACTCGTAGGCTAGCATTCGTATCGTCCAATTCGTGCAAACGCTACATGCAGATAGTGCAACGAGGTTGCACGATTACCTACCGGTTTCTCTTTCAGCGCCGACACACACTGCACAGCCAGTAGAGCCACCGCCAGAACCGTGGCCAAACTCTTCATCATCGTCACTGCCACTACTAGTGTACTCCTTCTAGTAAGTTCTACCTCCTGGAAAGTGAAAATTTCCACTGACGTTGCTGGCGGTGCTCGCCAAGCTAAACCAACGGTGCGAAACACGATCACGCAGGGCAGGGAAGTGGTTGGTAAGGCCAGTACGGGATCTAGTCAGGAGCAGACTACACAGTTCAGGCTACCTGGTGGACTGGAAACCAAACACTGCAGCCTATGGCTATCGTCGATGGGATCGAGCACTGCCCCCAGGTTAATAACTGTTGCCTTTACAACGAAACTTTTAAAAGTCCTAACTCGGATTCCTGGTTCAGTGTCGACTTCGAGCGATCTAACCTGGAATTACTGGATGATATTTGCCTTATATTGGATAGCCTAGGTGCATCGATTCCACGACTGGCACAAGGGCCAAGTGAAGCTTTGCTCCACTCGTTGGCTCGATGGTCAAAGCGGACGCAGGCCAACACTCGAAGTTGGACAGCAACGGTATGCTAGGTGGCTCAGGTTGATGTAAGCTCCACGTGTCCCAGTCCCAGTATCGCGTTGCCATGGATGAACCCACATCATGGGCGTTCCCGAGCCGAGATGAGATATAAGGTCAACGTGATACGAACTTACTTCCTTGACCCTATATCGGTGGGGTGAATGTGTCCGTGGTAAGCTCTAGACTGAGAAGCACGATCAGTGTTCTGCACGCACGCTATATTCTCGCGACCCCATCGCTAAGCCGACGAAAGCAGCGGTCGCCTGTACTGACCGATATGCCGTGTAGGGTAGTGAAGAGCGGGCCAACGACGTTACGCTCACCAGGGTGATGTCGTGTATATAATAATTATGTACTGACCAACAACATGATTGTACTGGCCAGTACAGTGCAGTATGGTCTAGATATACACACTGGCTTGGTTCAGTGGCTGGCGGAAACGAGCGACCGTGATGGTAGACCATGTAGACCGCTTCGTGAGCTGCACCACGCTGGAATGCTTTAAAAATGCCGCTCAATGATTTGCTCTGCGTCGCGAGAAGTCGAGGCGGCGACTACCTTTTGTTGGCCGTTCGCGTGAGCCGTCGACAGCAAGAATGGTGTATGATCGGCGGCTTGGAGATGAGGCAATGTCACACATCTAGGCAATGTTTAATTATTGCTATTGCATGGAGCGGATACTTCGACATTGTCCTCCAACTTTTGGAATCGGGCAGCGGCCATGGTCGTGAATGTAGATTTAGGCTAATAATTATAAGGCTGTTCTCTCTTTTCTTTCTCTCTTTTTCTTTAAGTCTGCACACTCTACGCATGTATGTACAGCATACGTGTACTTCAAGTAAGTACAATTCTACTCCTGTACTTTGTACTTTGTACTTGCTCACTGCCAAAAACTGGTCACTGGCGTGGGTCTCCCCGGGAGAGGGGGGAGAGATTTAAAAGGAATCTTGGAAAGATGGCTATTGAACCGCTCAACGGCCGACGACCCCTAACATCCCCATACTCTGGGTGGACTTGGAAATGATCCCACCTTTACCTAACACTTACAATTCTACAATCCTAGAATGTCCACCATCATTAGCCGACTGCAGTTACTTTCTGGAGAGTTGAGGTCGGCCTAGGTTGTCACTGTAGGGTGCATGTCATCCAGCAGGTTCAAGTTTCTACCTCCGAATACAATAGTGAGTGGTTGACATAATGAGTGGTTGACTGTATCTTGGTGTGGCCGTCGTGTGCGTGCGTGTGTCTGTGTATGAATGCGTGTGTGTGTATGATTGTATGTGCTGTATTATGTATATGTGTATGTGTGTGTGTGTGTGTGTGTGTGTGTGTGTGTGTGTGTGTGTGTGTGTGTGTGTGTGTGTGTGTGTGTGTGTGTGTATGTGTGTGTGTGTGTGTGTGTGTGTGTGTGTGTGTGTGTGTGTGTGTGTGTGTATGTGTGTGTGTGTGTGTGTGTGTGTGTGTGTGTGTATGATTGTATGTGCTGTATATGTGTGCGTGTGTCTGTGTATGAATGCGTGTGTGTGTATGATTGTATGTGCTGTATTATGTATATGTGTGTGTGTGTGTGTGTGTGTGTGTGTGTGTGTGTGTGTGTGTGTGTGTGTGTGTGTGTGTGTGTGTGTGTGTGTGTGTGTGTGTGTGTGTGTGTGTGTGTGTGTGTGTGTGTGTGTGTGTGTGTGTGTGTGTGTGTGTGTGTGTGTGTGTGTGTGTGTGTGTGTGTGTGTGTGTGTGTGTGTGTGTGTGTGTGTGTGTGTGTGTGTGTGTGTGTGTGTGTGTGTGTGTGTGTGTGTGTGTGTGTGTGTGTGTGTGTGTGTGTGTGTGTGTGTGTGTGTGTGTGTGTGTGTGTGTGTGTGTGTGTGTGTGTGTGTGTGTGTGTGTGTGTGTGTGTGTGTGTGTGTGTGTGTGTGTGTGTGTGTGTGTGTGTGTGTGTGTGTGTGTGTGTGTGTGTGTGTGTGTGTGTGTGTGTGTGTGTGTGTGTGTGTGTGTGTGTGTGTGTGTGTGTGTGTGTGGTGGTGTGTGTGTGTGTATGATTGTATGTGCTGTATATGTGTGCGTGCGCAGTGCGCACGTGAATGTCGCTGTCAATAGGAATAGGTCATGTCCATCAGATTGTTCTTCTGCGCCCTTTTGTGTCTTCTAACCAATGACCCGGTGGTTGAGTACTGATACGTGACATGAACAGTAAAACATGTCTTGTAAAGCTCTGTTCATAGAAGTACTACTACTACTACTACTACACTGCACTACTACTAGTACCCGGTACAAACCCAGGTTCCGAAACAATGGCAGCTTCTCAGAGAATGATTCCCTGCCTGCTGAGTGCTGCGCAGCTCGGCTACATCTAAAAGAATCCAGACCCTCTGACCTGGCTTGTTGTCGTTGTTGTTATTACTACGGCTTACTTTGTTTTTACTTCGCAAGGCCAGACGGGCAATGGTGCCCAGTTCTATGGAAGCGAATTTCAAAGCGGGAGAGAGCGAGCGAGGGGGGGGGGAGAGAGAGAGAGAGAGAGAGAGAGAGAGAGAGAGAGAGAGAGAGAGAGAGAGAGAGAGAGAGAGAGAGAGAGAGAGAGAGAGAGAGAGAGAGAGAGAGAGGGAGGGAGGGAGGGAGGGAGGGAGGGAGGGAGGGAGGGAGTGAGGGAGGGAGGGAGGGAGGGAGGGATGGAGGGAGGGAGAGGGAGAGAGAGAGAGAGTGAGAGAGAGAGACAGACAGAGACATACAGAGAGGGAAGCAGTGAGGTTAGAGGCATCGGGGAGATGGGTTAGTGGTGCGTGGTGGCGGGGCTTGAATCTGGGACAGGTGCTCGCGATTGGCAGGTTCCTTTCCCCCAGCGTGCAGTCAATGTTAGGAAAGATAAAAAAAAAAGTCACACGGTTTTAAAGCTACTGTCAAAGGTTCGATACACTTCTCGTATGCTCTGGATGGCAGTCGTGAGTGACCCAAGTGTAAGTCCAGTACCAGAAGAGGGAACAAACGCGAGCTCCAGTGTGGCGGGCAACCAACCTTACCGAAGACTAATTTTAATTTTGTACTGGTCGATCCTACCCCAAGCCAGTGAAACCTGTCTAAGACGACCGCTCAAGGGACCTTCAAAATGTGGTCTCTGTTACCAGGTGGTCTCCTTATCCAGGGTCATTCGACTGGAAATAGCATTCCTTGATCCTGGTATCAGTGGTCTTCTTGGACAGGTGGTCGCCTTATCCGAGTGGTCGCCTTGACAGGTTTTACTGTAGTAACTTACCAAGCACCGGTATATATATGATCAATTGTGTCATAACATAGTGGACAACTCTCAACATGTACATGTACATGTAAGCGATACTTGCACAGGCATGATTGTAGCAAGGGGTTGGGGGTGAGACTATGTGCCCCCCCCCCCCCGTTTTCCGCTGACGGACTTGAACAACTGGAAAAAATGCTCTTCAAGTTTAGACAAGTACAGGAAAATGTACATGTGCGAGCATGTCATACAATTATGATCTACTAGTATTCTGTAAGTGTACCCCCCCCCCCCCCCCCCCCCCTGGCGGATACTGCCAACAGAGCAATTGGCAGAATCTGGCACTTTTTCTGGTATGTTTCCCATGCGTGCTTGGTATGTGGATAAAGAAATGGAGCAGAATTCAAGGAAGTGAGTGCGTTTGGCCGTGATGCCGAGACCTCAGGTCGGCAGAGCCATGGCAATGCCCCGCCATCACCAGAATCACTGCCGCGTCTCTGGTTTTCATGTGCTACAGTGCTGGCAACTGAAATCCGACCCCCTTGGCGGCGCGCCGCGCCGCCCAAGGAGTCGGATTTCAGTTGCCAGCACTGTAGCTCTTGATTACGCAGAGCGAACCCTCCCTAAATTATGCCTAATTTTCATGACCATACATTGTGTACAACACTCACTGCCATATGGACATGGTACACATGACCTCTATCGGAGGCCTGAAATATTGTCCTGTGCAAATTTCCAGTAAGAAATGGTGTTAGATAACTATAATGGAAACTCACCACCATGGAATGACTGACTTCGGGTACATGTAATTATGTTCGTATATACCATCAAGATGTATTTCTCGGCATTCTAGCCGAGTAAGAAAGGTGGAAAACTGGGACGGGTCATCTATTTGTAAACTGAAGCACTGAATCATGGGAAAATACAAAAAGGAAACCCATCTGGAGGTGGCGCAGCATCGCTTCTCGGCCTTTTGGCTAAGATCAAGACTTAGTGTAGTAACTGTTCTTATCAGTTTGATCGCTGGTAGTCGACACTATGTCGATATTCGATGAAATCATTTTAATGTATTTAGTTTTTGGGGAGCGGCTCGAATTTTTGCTCCTTGTAGAGTGGCTCGAAGCTTGCTTCACCCTCTCCACGGATCACCCTGGTATTGCAATTCTTCCAGGTGTGGTTCATTTTCCTTCCCAGGGTCATACATAACCGGCAAAGAAGGAGTTCAAATGAGAGTCCAAGAACTTAAAAAACACTTTTCAGTGCAGCCGTTGGGTGTTGGGTGGGGGGAATAGCAAAGTCCATGATATGCACACAGTATCGTACAGTGCTGCTCATTGCAATGAAATTGAGTCGAGTGAGGCAAGCACCCGCCAGGTGTTGGGGGTAGGCACCGGCGGATAATGCCGGCAGAAAAATTGGCAGAATTCGGTACCTTTTCTGGTAAGTTTCATACATGTTTGGTATGTGGATAAAGAAATGGAGCAGAATTCGACTGAGGAATTGCCCGCCATAAGGTTTGTATGGTTCTGCCAATTTCACTGCTTTTCGAGCAGAATCTGCCACCTTTTCGAGCAGAATCCGCCGGTGCCTAGTGTTGGGTAGCCCTGGACATGTAAACACTGGACTGTGAAATGGTGCCGGGCGCAAGCCGCTCTCCCACGATCGGGTTTCATTGAGCAGCACTGTACATTAAAAAGTAGTGAGCGCTCCAGCAGCACTTGAGCACTTTGAAGCGGAGTACACCGGCCCCGGGGTGCATACAGCGTGTACAGTCATATTGACAATCATGTACAGCTAGTGCTGATCAACTTGTAGTGAAATCACAGGGGTGTCCACGGTTTGTACAGTACAACCCCCCCCC